GCTGTTTCCTCCCCAGGGCTGAGGACAGCAGCTCTCGTGGGCGAAAGGAGAGGCGAGGAAGGGACTCGCTGAGCTCATTTCAGCTCCTCTCACTACTCTTGTTATTTTTCCCTCCCCCCACGTACACTCTTCCTCCTTCTCCACCCACCCCCTCCGYAGCCTCCTCAGAGAATGGGTGTCTGGGGTGAGATGCAGCGCGGGGGAGCCGGTGGGGGGAGATAAGCCGGGAAAAGGGAAGGAGGAGGAAACGAGGGAGATTTTGCTGCCGTCTCCGGGCTGATTGGAAGAAGCAATCCTTGTAACCGCGGCTGGGGGATTAGCAGCTAAACTTTCATTGCTCCCTTTTGCGTGCGCGGCCGTGTGTGCGCCGCTCCAAGAGGGACTCGTCTCTGCTTCTTTCTGGCAGGTGCAGTTCAAGGGGGAAGCCACGAGCGTTTTGTCTGGCCCCTAAACTGAGCAGGGGAGGGGAAAAAAAGAACCTCTCTGCTCTTCCTCTGGCTTTCTCAGTTTTGAAATCACTCCTGCCCCAGCACCGCCGCCCTTCCGTCCTTCTCCGGCGCTGAGTGAAGAGTCACCAGGGCTGGAGCAGTGAGGGGGCAGCTCTCTGTCCTCAGCCATCTCTGGCTCACTCCTTGCCTTCCGAGAGGATTTGAGACGGTGCAATGTGTTTGCAGCCTCTTGCCGCTGCTGCTGCCTGATACTATGCAATACGCAGGGAGAGGGTTTTGCAAAATGGATTTGTTCGATTTTAAAGGATTTCTACTCTAATAAGGATCGCATTGCACACAAATATGACTAAATCCCCTATTTGGTAAATCTTTCTCCCCCCACCCCTCCTCTTTGGGTTCCCTCCCGCCCACCCCCACCCCTTCAGAGGAGCAAGCACAGGGAGCTGATGACGGACCCATTAATCCCTTCTTCAATGCATCAAAAGAAGCCGAAGGGCTGGAAGTCGCTGGGCTCGGAGTTCTGCAGGAAATGCTTCGATCTGCTCTTGGTTTTGTATGAAACTGGGGACTAGGGGCTCTCCCCGCCGCCGCCGCCGGCACCTGGATGCGCGGGTCGCCACCGCCGCGATGCGACGCTCGCGGTGCTGAGGATGGGAGCCCGGGTGTGAGGAGCTCGAGCCGGCGGTGACTCCTTGAAGGCAGCGAGGGAGAGCAAGAGGGAGGAAACGCTCTGCTCTGTGTGGGCTTTAGGATCTTTTTTCCTTTTTTTTTT